TGTTCGATTCGTCTTGGCACAAGCCGATCTTATCGTAATGAGTGAAAAATTGTGGTTTTATGTTACCACATCGAGCTCTGCCTATAGCCTCTTCAATTGAGAACTCTGCTAGTGTATTTATTGTTTCGTTTGGTATTTCTTTCATTTTATTGTAGTAATTTCTAGCTAGTCGAATAATAAAATTGTCACTTCTCGGTATTTGAGCTTTGTCGGAAAGAATTTTATTACTCACTCTTTTTCGAAAATTAGAATGAACAGATCTGTGTAAAAACAGTGCAGATCTAAGACATTTTCTTTCGAATATTCTCAATTTTTCTGTTTGACAAGCGCCCATATTCCACAATATTTCCGAAGCGTATGTTAATAACGGTCTAATGAGTAATAAGTAGAATATTACTCTTGCTCTTTTATTAATAAATTTATTGTGAAATAAGTGTCCCAGGGCTTTATACCTCTTTCGAGCTTTTTCTATCTGTATATCTGTATGTTTTGAGCATCTAACTAGATAATCTAGGTGTACTCCAAGATATTTAACTAATTCTTTGTTTGGAATTATTGACTCCTCATTTGTCTCTGGATTTTTTATTTTTATTTCAAATTCTTTAATGCTTTTGCGTTTATATTTCGACAAGTGAAAGGAGGAGCAATACCTCACCCACCTAACCATTACAGTCGGTAATTATAAAAACTAAATGACACAAAAATACGGACCTCTCTTGAATTTCATTCGTTCCTCCAATGATAGATATGTCACTATATTTTTCAAACACATTTCTTCCTCAATCGGTTTCATCATGGCAGAAATCATTTTATTTAACGCTGGGACCGGGAGCATTTGCGCATGCGCTGTCCCCAAAGAAAAATGAATAGAATCTATTTTCTTTTAATAATATTCTTGTTTTAATAATAAAGTAATATTAAATAATTCGTAAATATATTTATCATTCCCCTTGACCCAAATTATGAATTTATTGATTAGAAATTGAATCCTTTTGCACGCGACAAAGAGTAATTCCTAATTTCTGTGGAATAGATTTTTGATTGGATTCTTATAGAGAATTCATCCAGAATAAGCGAATTATTTGTTTCTTCTGAATAAAATATTTCCATTGAAATGCATATATGAAATTATCCATTTACAGTGAGAATATTGTTGAAATGCATACTAAATATTGAAATGAAGACTTTTATTTCATTTTTCATCATTTTTAAAGTAAAAACAAAAACATTTGATGATCGGAATACTCTTAATCAAAGAGATTCATCGCGGAATTGTTTAAAATCATATGAAGGTTTCAATATCGCAGACATTCTGGTCGTTCCGTGTATGGGGGTGTACAGACCACACAGACCGTGTCCGCACGGACCGGGTCTGCATACGCCGTGCGCCTGTGTATGGTGGCCTTAAAGAGACCCGTTATCTCAGCTAGACCCTTGGGAGATCCCACGAAGGGTTATCTCAATAAACGAAAATGGAGATGAAAAATCTCGAATGAAGTATTTGAACGTTCAATAAACTAAATGACGGTGACAGATGAAATGGGGAAAGTAAAAGAATGAGCAAACCTGTCGAAAAGTGTACCCAAATATTTCGTTATAGGTATCGCTTTTATGACGGTCAACTTTTCAATAAGAAGACAGGGATTCATTGGAAAAAAATGACAAATAGTCAAAAGTACCGTTGGGGAACCTCCGATGAAAGCACCTCATCATGAATAGTACGATTTTTCTCAAAATTTAATCAATAGGAAAACCCCAAATAACTAAATACATTTCGATCATTTTTATATTACTTTATACTCTTCCACTATGCTATATTCGTAATTCATATTCCAATGGAAATTGTGATATATTTTACATTATGATGTTTGAAAGCTTTCACAATTATTTAAAGAAGAAATCTCATTCAATTTAATCACACAAAAGAAACAATGAATTATATGCGATTGTAAGAGAATATAAAATTAATGTATTTAGCTATATTAAAATTTTTTTTTTTTGAAGAGTTAAGAGTTGTTTTCAATTAATGCATCAGATACTACTGTTGGATTCAAAATTTAAGGCTCCGCACTTTGAATGGCGATAATTGGTTGAAAAAAAATCTCCAAGAATGAAACCAAAAAGTTCTCGGAAGCATAACTATCTAAAAATCATTCCAGAGAAAACCAAATTTTTGTCGAGAAATTAATTTTCAAAAACAGACAAAAAATAAGTGAAAAAGGGGGCAAAACTGGGTGTTAAAAGGCTCCGCGAAGTTTACATATCCGTTACAGAACCAATTTTACTTTTATCGTTTTGGCAAAATTACTGTAGATACTCTGATCTTTCCTGAAGCGAATGATTTCAAGTTTTTGTTAATCTGACGATTTATTTACTCGTTTTTACTGCAAATGTGGCAGTCCACTATGGCATGATCTACTGATTAACAGGCAAATGATGCTTGCATGTAAAAATAGGGAAAAATTAAATTATCGACATTCAATACGTCTCGTTATTGAAGAAAAGTCAGAAAAATTATTATTTTTTCTTCTCTTACCGGAAAATCAAAGGGCCCGCCCGGTGAGAAGCATTTATCGCTGTGGGTCTCAGTACCCTTTTTTGGCATGGAGGACCCTGCCCCCAGTTTTCCGAGAAACATGTATACAGTCCTCCTTCATGCAAAAAATGAGGGTACTGAGGGTCCCTCATGACCAGAGCGATGAATACTTCATACCGGGCGGTCTCGTTCATTTTCTGGTAAGAGAAGAAAAATTAATTATAATTTTTCTGATTTTTCTTTAATAACGACAAGTATTGAATTTCAATATTTGAATTTTTCCCTATGTTTACAAGCAAGCATCATTTGTCTAATGCCCGTAGATCATGTTATAGCGAACTGCCATATTTGTATTAAAAACGAGTAAACAAATCGTCGGATTAACAAAAACTTGAAATCAATCGCTTCAGGAAGGATCAGAGTATCTACAGTAAGTTTGTCAAAACGATAAAAGTAAAATTGGTTCTGTAATAGACATGTAAACTTTGCGGTGTCTTCTAACACCCTGTTTTCCCCCTTTTTCACTCATTTTTGTTCTGTTTATAAAAATAGAATTCTCGAAAAAAATTTGTTTTCTCTTGAATGATTTCTAGATAGTAATGCTTCCGAGAACTTTTTGATTCAATTATCGGAGATTTTTTTTCAACGGGTTATCGCCATTCAAAGTGCGTCGTTTAAATTTTGAATCCGACAGTAGGTAATAGTTCTTTTATAGTCGTACACATTTCTCCGACATAAATAATGCAGGAAAAAACCATTTTCGATTTTATCTCTCTATAAAAATGTATAAAAAAATTAGTCTGTAAGCTGAGGGTGTTTGAGCGTATATTTTTATATGGTTTTTGGTCCCCGGAATGCGAATATCAAAGTTTCCTCAAGTCGCATTTCGCTCGGTATTTTTATTCTTGACAATTAATGAATTTAGATTTTTTCTCCAGAGAAAAATTTATTCTATAAAATACGCGTGATTTTAAGGGGAGTAAGTCCTGAAACATTTTTCGTATTTGCGATAAATTCATCAATAAACATTCATAAACAAATGATTTTTTCAGAAACACTCAAATTGCTTATTGGAATTGATTTTTCTTGCGTTTTAGGTGGGTGCATAGGTTCGTTATACGAGACATAAGTGATACATAACGGAATCTACTCTGTGTATCAGGTGTACATTGATTTTTTTAAACAATGTGTTTAAACAAACATCAAAAAAGTCAATTTTCGAAAAGAAATTTTTTTTTGCATATTCACAGCTTTTTAATAACTATAAGTTATTATGATTTTCTTCCTTAACTCGAGCGTTTGTTGAATAAAAAAATTGTGAATAATTTCATTTGTCATTGTTCATAATTTTTTATTCTATAAACGGTCGAGTTGAGGGAACAAATCTTGACGACTTATCTTTCTTGAAATATTTTGAATTTTCAGGAAAAAAGATTTCTTTCGAAAATTAAATTTTTTTTGCCTTTGTTAAAACAAATTATTAAATTATATAATTATTTAAAAAACGATCCATGCTATGTAAATGGAGTACTTTATTTAAGAAATCATTCATGTATCATTTGTAAAACCCCACGTATACTATGGAAAAAAATCTCGATCGAAAAAGCCGAATTTAATCAATAAATCAATAAATTTAATCAATAAATTATCAATAACGATGACCTCGCCATACGGATTCGGCGGATTGAAAAATAGAGAATTCAATAAAAAAAAATTCTCGACTTAGAATGCATGCGTACAACCCCCCCCCCCCCCCCCCCCCCCCCCCCCCCCCCCCCCCCCCCCCC